GTTTTATTTCACACAGTGTCAGGGAAGCTGGGAAAATAGCTGGGAAAAGGTCAGCTCTGAAAAGATGCTTTTACAGACTCAGGCTCGCAAATGTTGAAGGAACTGCACAGTCTGAGACACTGAATTGTCAGAAGTTCCATTTGTACTTTTAAAGGTACCAGCTCTGTGGGAGGTGTGAGTTCATTCAGCTGGTCACTGCACAGCCTGCAGTGCGTTTGAACTGGTCTGAAATGTCCTGCAGATACCTGGCTAGAGGGGCTGCACTGGGAAATGTCAGTCCTGTCTAAAATAGGAAAAAAAAGGAGGTGTGTGGGAGAAAATATGACTAAAAATAGTGTTTCCCCCCTCGTTACAAAATACAGGTAAAAATAAAATTCAACACTTCCAGACTTTCTGCATCTCTGAATGACAGCCAGGTATGCATTCATGACACTTGTCTCACTGCTAAAAAAATGCAAAACAAAGGCAACTTCCACATTTATTTTTAGTTCAGTTTGTTAAATTCCATGGCTCATAATAGGGTTACATTTGGTCCCCAAAACAGGTTTGTCTTGGGAAGTCTTCTGTAGCTGATAACCCATTTATGTTCACGTTGCTTGTTTTAAAATGTATATGGGATTAGTGGGTTTTCATTGTGAAACTTTATCCAATGAAAAGGGATTTTTCCCCCAAACAAGGATTTTCCTTTTTGAATAAAATTCTTGATAATAATAACAACAACAACAACAACAATAATAATAATAATAACAACAACAACAACAATAATAATTTCATTGTTTTTCAGAAGGAAAAAAATGGATATAACCTTCTGGCAATAAAATATATTTTTCTTTATAAATTTATTTGATCTTATTCAGTTTTGAAAATTGAATGCATATCTTTTTTTTTTTCCTGTAGAGATCTCCAATAATAGTGTTTCAGGTTTGTTGGATTTTTTTGTTGTTGTTTTGTTTTATTTCTAAAACATGCCTTTGAAGGAATTTTAAAAGTCCCAGTAAGTGGGTATTATTCTTTCTATGCTTTGAACAGAATACAATTGTTGGCTCTTTTGTTTCATTAATTCCCCATACAAATACACATTGTACTCAATTTAGGTTCCTGAAAGACACAGGGATTACAAACCTATTTAGCCAGACTAAATCCTTTGGAAATTTAAAATGGAAAATATTATCACAGTTTGACTGTTAAATCTACCAAAATTTTGTGTAACCAGTTAATTATTTGCTTGAGAGGATCCCTAAATCTTCTTGTGAAAGCAGGGAGCTCTGGCAATGATGCAATCCCCAAACCAGAAAGCAATCCCCAAACCAAACACACATTGTCATGCGGAGTGGGGGAAAATTCAGAGCAGCTGAGGAATTTTGAAGGTTTTTTTTTTGTTAGAAATGCTTTGCTGAGAGGACAGGTACACCTGTGTAATTAAAAGGAGCAGCTCAAGAAGAGGGAATTAAGGAAAACTCCAGGGAACTGATCAAATACAAACGCTTGGTATAAAAAATGTGTCTAAAGAATGGGCAAAAAGTGCCTCCAGAAAAAGTGAAAGGGAGGGAGTGCGTTGTGAACAGGAGCACAACAGGATGTCAGGAGCAGGTGAGCAGATAAACTCTGGCTGCTCACTTCCTCCTGCCTCTGAAACAGCAGGACTGTGATGCACCCCACTGTAGTTATATGAGTGTCTCCAAAGACCTTCATCATCCAAATGTTTCATTTCCTGACAACAAGAACCTGTAAAACTCTGATATTTTGGACTGGCTGCTGAGGCCAGGAAGTCATGTTATCTTGCGATGGGATCATCAAGCCATGGTGTTAACTTTGCAGGAGGAGGTGGGAAAGGGTACATCCTTTTTCATAAAAATAAAACTGTTCTGCCAAGATGTAAATGGGATGGATAAATTTTCTGCTCATCTGACTTTGTAAGATGCTCTCGATAACTCCTCAGTCAGCAAAAAAATGTATCTAAAATGTGATAGCAAGGAACCCCAGAGAGTACAGGATTGAGAAGTCACCACTCAAATGTCTTTAAAGGTATTGAGGTTGCTTGGCACTATTGTGGTTTTAAGTGATCTTATAGATTTACCTTTTTTTAAATTATTCATTTCTTCTATCTGAAATGGGATCCTAGTAGTTAATTTAAATTTATTATGGCTATCTTGATTTGTCCAGCAGCAAGGTGGGGGTCGAGCAGACTCTAAAAAAAGGGTCTTTTCTGGTCAGACAGTAAAGGGCATGTGTGTGGATGCCAGAAGAATGAAGAATAAAGAGCAGAAGGATAAAGAAGTTAGAATAAGAGGTGTGAAGACATCACAGCTATTTACCTATCTGTCACAGCATACCTTCCAGTCACCTCTGCAGGACCACATGATGTCTAAAATATGTGAAGCAAAAGTAATTATCTTGTCTCAGTGGCTCCAGCTTTTTATGGAAGTCAGTTAGTTTGAGGCATTTTCTGTTCAAAATTAAATTAGAGGCAGGCTTTTCAAAACAGCTGAACTACTGAAAGTCTCAGTATGATGTCTCCACACACATGCATGTGTTTTTGGCATGCAGCTGGCATTTTCCCAGCTTTCCTGGGACGAATGGCCTACTTCTGGGTACCTTTTCCCTTCAAAATCCCATCTCAGTACACTGTAGTGTTTTGAATTTCCAATTAATTTTCTCTTTTATTTTGTTTAATTTTACATGCTGAGGGAAATGATGGATTGAGCCAGCATGGGTTAGTGTTTTTGAAATTGGGGTATATCTTAATGTAATACAACAAACTTCAGTGGGGGAAGATCCTTATTACATATCTTTTGTCAGAATGCAATAAAGGACTAGCAGGAGACATAAGACTATAAGGAAGAGGGGAGGAAAGTAAAGAAATACGTGTGTATCTTCTCTGTATGTGCTTTTCAGCTCTATGTGTTGTGTAGTTCAGTGTCTATTTAACTATCAAACAACGTGCTCAGAAATATGGACTGACAGAAATATGTACCCTGCAACTCCTTTTCTTCTCTCTCAGTTCTGGGATGATGGAAGGATTTCAGATGTGTGAAGGCCTCCTTGAAAAATCAAAACAAAGTACCAGGGTACTGTTTTGGAAATGGAAATGCACCCAGCAGTAGGTAGAAACCCAAATTCCTTTGCTCTGCAGTTTCTATCACAGGAAAACAGAGTTCTGCATTCAGTATGTCCTTTTGTGCTAGCATGACAAGAGTCTGATATATTTCAAGCTTATAATTTTGCTTTTCTAGTGTTTGTTTTTTCATTTCTATATGTTTTTCCCCTCTCTGTTGGGCAGATGATGGTTCTTACGAAAGGTCATCAGTATTCCCGGGAACAGATTCACAGGGGCAGAATAAAAATGGGATGTAGATTCTCTCTTTCCCTGCCAGTGCTGCCCGATTAAGTAAATGTGCTTCTGATCATGAGAGAAGAGAGGTATCACACTGCCATGCAGCCAAAACCTCCACACTGGGACTATGTCTGGCCCAGTTTACGAATTGCTATTATTTTAAAGAAAATCCTTTGCTAGCCCCTTATTTTTCTGATGCAGCAGTGCAGGTGCAAAAAGATTGTCTGGATTTCTGAAGCAGGATTTCCTCTTTGCTCCTTTGCTGAGGCAGAGTAAAAGTATTCTTCCCTTTTTTAAATAGAAGCAGAGTGAGTGACAATTTTCCATGTTTCCGAAATATTTGTGAAAATTTAGCAGAAAAACATGGAAGGCCACTGTATATTCTGTTTTAAACTACTGGGGCTGAGCAAGAAAGGCAGGGAGAGGACAGGAAACAGAGGACAGGTGCTCTTTCCTTACAGTCTAGAAGTCACCGCTGATGGAGGTGATTACTGGGAGAGTCTTGTCTGCCTTCTCCCCAAGAAGAGGTAGTAAAATCAGGCATCAGTACTTGAGGGGATGCTAGCAAGGAATAATAACTGACATTTGGATTGAGGTCTCTATAAATGGCAGTTTGTCATTACATTGATGTGCATTGTTAAAAATTTTGCCTCCAGAGGCTGCAAGAATTTGACGTATTTGTAGTAATGAGTGAGCCTTCCAAAGTGGATTACACAAAGTACAATATCTCAGGCTAATTTTGAGCTCTGTGTTTACTTTGGAAGCCCTTTAAATCCACTCTAAAATGGTTAAACTAAAACTGTCTGCTGAAGCATTTTAGGCTTTCTGAAACAGAATTACATGAAAAATTGCTTTTACAAAAAGTCAACAAAAATGTTTTGCCCTGCACAGAGTAGAAATACTTACTGCAGAAATAGGAAACAGAAACAATTTCATAGCACAGACAGCACATATGTAGCTGCTTTTCCTCAGCACCTTCTTTCAAAAGAGATCATCCCAGGAATTCAGTACCACTATTTTAAGTGAGTGCTCTGGAAAAATGGAGTATTTCTTGTTATAATGTTACACTGCAAACAGTGACTACTAACTCAACCAGACACCAAACCAAGGACTCCAGGTGAAGGCACTGGAACTGTTGAACTTCCTTGGCTCAGAAGGCTCAGAAGAATTTTTTCTTTCAATTTCCAAGTTGTATAACTCTTTCATTTCTTTTCTCCCTCCTCTACCCTTTCCATCAATAAAGGTTAGGTGAGAACTTCACTGGAAATGTTAGGAAATGAAAAAACTTAGGATCAGGATTGGTGCTGGCTGCATAGAGACCAGGGCAGAGACCATGCCAGAGACCAGGGCAGCTGGTGCTGCACTCCAGGAGCCAGGGATCCAGGCAAAGGCTATATACAGATAACCCACCCATTGCCTCCTGGCTGTCAGGAAGGTTTTTGTCAGTGCTGACAGCCTGTCCCCTTCACGAGCATCAAATTAATTCCAGCACTAAAATAAATCTCAAATTGAGCCATGGCTGATAAAGAATCCACAGCATGTCCTTGTTACCTTCTATGTGTGTCTGTCTCCTGTCTCTGCAGGAAGGGCTCCTTAACCAGCTCTTTGTGAGCAAACAGATGGGAAACAAGCAAATCTAGCAGTTGTCTTTCCCTCTGGTACCTCAGCCACTCTAGACTGTGACACATGGAGGCTCCCAATGGTGAGATTTACATAACAATTTAATTTTAAAGAAAGAGGACGTGTGTTTTTCTGGCAGTTGTGTAATTAGTGTGGTTCCTCAGCAGACCCACCACCGTTCCTTACGCTTTTTACCGAGAAAGTTAGAAATTGCAGACAGGTTTTAGCAGACAGTGGTTATCTAGGGTGAAAGTCAAAGCCCTTGCTGGAGTGGGTAAAAACTCATCCAAAATATGACTTCAGCTTCATTCCCTGCCTTCAATCTTACATGTCCTTTGATTTCCACACACAGAATTTGGATGATTACTAAGGACAAGTCTAGGGGGCAAAGATATAGAGGGGAATGTGATCTGGGGGCTCTTATTTGTGGATTGGCCTACATGTTGATCATACTTATGTGCAGTTCTGTTTTAAGTTGTATTAGTTCTGTTTTCATCTAAGAGCTTTATGCCTTTATGATATTGATCTCATAAATACAAATACTTCAGAATAATTGCAGAAAACTTGAGAGAGGAGAAGAACAGGCCTTGCGTAATTTAAAAATTCTTCTATTTTTTTCTATTCTTTATGCCATGACTTTTGAAGAATGCTGGACTGGGTGGGAAAGAGCTCCATCTCAATCTTTGAAGAGAGGCAAGGAGGCAATGAGAATAAAAGCAATAAGGCAGAAAAATTATCTACTCTAATTCTGTAAAATTGCCGGAGTAACAAGACTTACATCTTTGTTTTTAGTCTGCAGTGGATTTACCTTCTCTAAAGTCATGGTGATGAGTCCTGACAAGCACCAACCCCCTTTGGAGAGGAGTAAACATTTTGTACATGAGAGGCTGGTGGCCATGGAAGACATGGTACACTGAATACTATGGTACACTAGCGTTCACCCCGTGCTGATGGTGAAGTGCTTTGCTGGCCTGGAATGACCACAGATGACAAACAAACACAGGTTCATTCAATCCATTTGGGCCTGAGAAATCCTTTTGGGGAGGCTAGAGAGAAAACAGAGAAGTGTCTTTGTGTGTAAATGCTTTCATTGTACCTCAAACTGACAAAACTCCCTTTATTTACCAGGTCATGGTTCAAACTATCCCAAACTATCCTTGTCTATCTGATTCCATTGGAAGAACTATAGGACAGAGGGTAAAGTTTAGCTACAGGTGAGGCAGGTTTCTTTCTGCTATTCCAGCATTCGTGCTTTTTCCTTCACACTGCTTTTTTTTTTTTTTTTTTTTTTTAATTGAATTCTATGTTGAGACTGTGTGCCTTTCTTCCTCTTTAATCTTCCACTTTAGGAATTCATTTGCAATGTGATAGATCGAGTTTGTGTTTCAGGAGGTGTCAGTGGGACCATGATAATGCATCTCAAATGGTAAAGCCTGCATCTTAATTGATTACCCATGTTCCTCCTTGGCCATGTCCTCTGCCACAAATTCAGCATAAGGGGGCACAGGGAGAAGGGGATGGGGTTCAGAAAGGGGGAAGGAAAAGAGAAGGCACTGAAGAGTTTTAAAAGGATTTGTGTTAATTCCTTCAAGACGTCCCTATGTGATGTTTCTCAGTCAATAGGAGATTAGATTGAAGAGAGGATAGCCACTGTTAATCCTCTTCTATCCATTCCCACAATGGGTATTAATATAGGAGCAAAACAGAAACAAACTTACAGAGGATTTTTTTGGTTCTTTTTTCATTTCATTGCATGTCAAGAAGAGCACTGAAGAGCGGAGTCTTTGGTCTTGTTTTTCCCAGGAAGGCAGTAGTCAAGGGGGAATGTCACATGAATGTTGGACTGATTACTCAGGCTCCCTCTGCAGCTGCAGACATCTCAGCCCAGAGCTGTAACTGTGACCAGGCAGATTAAGCATTTCTACATCCAGCAAGGATGGAGAAAAATTTTTGTGCAGTGATTTAGGGTCCATGTTTCCTTTAAGTGAGACCACGTGATTCAAACTGTCATTATCATGAATCTTCTGGGTTTCTTGTCACATTTTTAGGAAGAAATTTCCTTTTTATTCACTCAGTATCAGTGCGAATACTGAAAAGTATTTCGAGAGACAGGTGTGCTGTGAGCCATTTCAATTCTGGTTTGTCCATCTGGCCCATTCTCTCACCTACCCCTTTATCAAGGCATATCTGGTCTATTTGCATGCTAGAAAGAAAGGGAAGCACTAGTGATAATAGTGATAATAACTTTCCCTTCTCATACACTGGTCAGACAATTATAAGTATCTTCATGCCTTATTTGAAGCGTCTTTAGAGAGCTCCTGTATTTTTGCTGTCTTATGCATCTCCCCCAGAGCAAGAATATATGTCCTAAACTAAGTCAATGTGCACACCTTTTCTTAGATAACAGACCAGCAGTGAATATGGGAGCAAATGAAGAGGACATGGAGCTGGGGAAAAAAAGAAGAGTTTTTCTTAATTCATCCATCTCCTATTTTTTCCCCTATTGAGAAAATAAAAAAAAAAAATTAAAAAAGAGAAATTCATGAAAAATTAATGTAAGATACAAGCCTGATCTTTAAATAGTGTCTGCCTAAATATGGACATCCTGACTCTCGATGGCAAGTTCGTTATGTTCTGCCAGTATTAACCTTTGGGGAAGACTGAGGTTATTATCATAAGCATTTCTATAGTAACTTTTATCATAAGGTACTGAAGTGATTCACCAGCACTAACCTTGGAGTAACCTTCTAGATCAGTTAGTTATCAGTTCTCCTCTTTTACATACAGAAAAGCAGTGCTGCAGAGCACTGAAGCAACTTTCCCAAAGTAGTTCATAACCTGTGGCATAACTCAGGACCAAGGCACGGGTCTCTAGGCTCCAAAACTGGTGCTTTGAGCACAGGGTGGCCCTCCTTCAGGCAGCCCACTGACAGACGACAGACAAAGTGGGACTTTATTCCTCATTTCCAGTCAGAGCTGTAGCAGCATAGAACTTCTGCTTCTTTTGCTTTTGGTCAAGCCTTTTCCCTACAGAGAAATAAATAATCCATTTGCTGTTTCTGCCTGACATATCATCAAACATGCACAGCTCAGACATCTAAAACACAGGTGAATAGAGGTAGAATCTGTTTTAATATATAATTGTCCAGTTTATTTCAGGATTCTGGAGAAAAGAATGTTCCCTATTACACACAGGAACTTTAGGTAGGTTTCAAAGGGACCACCTGTCATTTTCAAGCAGAAGATTGATAAGGCCTGGCATCAATTTTATCCATGGTCTCTGCTTCCACCTTCTCTCCTCAAATACGTTTTTATTCTTTACCTCAGTGTCTGATTTTGATGAGCTTTTTGTCAGTCTCCAGACCAGACTGTCCAACACAGGATATCAACTACCAACAGAACACAGATACACCATTCTTCCCATGGAGCATGTGAAGAGTAGAGCATCTCAGGGGCTGTTCCAGTCCACCAGTCCTAGCCCTGCTCAGCTCTTGCTCTCTAGTAGGGGCTGTGGGGTGTGAAGGAAATATGGACAGCCTCAGCCTACCCACCAGTGCAGGCTGGGCTCCAGCTGCTCCTTTGGTTGTTTGCAGCCTGGGCTGGACTCACTGGTTACCTCAAGCATATAAAAAAGAATCCCTCCCCACGCAATAAACAACAGTGGTTTTATTGCCTTTTTTCCCCCTGGTACATTTGTGTAAGCCACAGTTGGGCTATTCTTCATCATGAAAGTACCAGCCAAGCCTTGAAATCCAAGCCTTTTATATTGTAGGCAGTGATGTGATTTCAGAGAATGAGCAGCTAAGGCATGTTCTCCAGGAAAGAAACAGAAAACCACTCAAAACACCAAATAACATCCTGACTGAAAGAAAATGAGGGTCCAGTCTCTAACCTTCTTTGGCATTTTACCGTGACAAACCTCATGATGGCCAAAACAGCATTCCCAAAGGTCCAGGGGCTCTTGGAAAGATTGGCAGACTGCACTTGCTGTAAGTATTTGGGGTTGTTCTAGCATTTGTCACTTATTTCCTTTACCCTGTTGGTTTTTATCTCCTCCTTGTTTAATCAGGTATAGTTAGCATATTGTTCCACAGAGCTCAGATATATTTCCTTTCAGGTGCAGCTTTAGTGAATAATAAATTTGACTCCAGTCACTCCTAACACTCTTAACCAATTTAAGCTCTCTCTTCCCTAAATTCAGAGACTACTCAAGGAAAAACTCCCTCCATATTTCCCCTCTCTCCCAAGCCAAGGTCTCTTCCACATTGATTGATTCACCATCACCTTTCACATGCCAGCTGCAGCTGAAAAGCTCCACCTGCTGCTATTACTCAGCAGTAATTGCACTGCACTTTTGTGCAGGCTTCAGGCATTCATCATCAGGATGACTCAATAAGGCAGTCCTGCATTGATGAAAGGCCTTAGAGCCTCCATCTCTCTTGTACATGCAGTAGCCACCTTCTGGATAAACCCTAGTGTGTATTGGGGGGATGGAAGAGTGCATTTTATGATGAGTAATTTACTTGCCAAAATTTCTTGTCTCATCTGCTCCCTGTTCTTAGGCTGTGTGAGAACCAATCCTCGCAGTCATACATTACTCCCCAAATATTTCCCGTGAGCCATGTTGCATGCGTAGCTTTTCCTCAGGCAGTCCCCTAGAGAGCATTCAAAATCAAAGCCATGTGACACATGTGTCCAGCCTGCAAGCCATGACCTTGGTGCCTCCCAGGAGACCCAAATCCTTTGTGCCTGCTTATTCTGCTGCTGGCTGTGCATGTTGGAGCCCTTTGGCTGGGTTTGAGCTCTCGGCATGGCTACACTCCCACTCACGCTTCCACCTGATGTGTTCCAGCTCCTTCCCAGCTGCAGCCCCATCACTGGCCAGTCACACAGGGACATCCCCTCCTTCACCTCCTCATTTGTATGAAAGCAGCCAAAGGACCAGATGTCACTGGTCACAGACTCCTTTCAGGGGCAAACAAGAGGGCAGGAGAAAGAAGCTGGTGAAACATCCACTTATTTCTCTCCAATGCCATTTCCCCTGCTGCTTCAGGACTGACTGTGCAACGTGGTGTAGAGGGATTCAAAGCATTGACTTGTTCTTAGTGGGGGTATTTCTCTGCCTGTACCGGGCAAATATCACTCTGGGATGAAGGTCTCTAGAGAGCTCAAAATTCACTTTTCATAACCATTATGTAATATTCCCTTGCAGCTGTCTAGCAGAACATTTCTGCTAACTAAATCACCAGAACAGATCTGGAAAGCAAGCAGAGCGTATACCTGCAGGGTCATACAATATTTATTTACCACTTGCAGCGTTCTTTCATTTTCCTTTGGAATACCATTTATCCAGCTTTGGAAAGGTGCAACAGTCATGTCAGGAGGCAAACCTAAGTCAAGAACAGCAGCACCACTCTTGGCACTATTACAGACTCTCTCTGTAGCATCCCAACAGCTCCTCCAGTGCCTCTGGTCACCCTGACCTGGGCAGCAGAAACATTTCTGTTTGCTGTGGTGTGATGAGTGTGAGCACATTGGTGGATTAGGAGTGTCAGATGTTATGCTGGAGTTGCTCAGCAGGCTTTCCACCTTCACTTCTGTGGGTTTTCTTTGATTTGCCTTATGCAGATTGTGGAATGCATTCCTATGTATTTTAGACATCTACACCTACATACATACATATCTAGAACAGTCTCTGTATATATATGCATCTCTATATATCACCATACTGATAATCATTACCAGTAGGAGAGGAGGAGTTACAAATCTGAAATGCAGCACATGTGCATTGCTGGTGCTGCCAGTGGGACTGCATCAAAGCTGGCTGACAATGTAAACGGATTTATTTCCCCCCCAAGTGTCAACACTTCAACAATTTAGTCTATTTGACAATAGGCACAAAATGGAAAGAAAAAAAGAGAGTTGCCAAATCTTTCTGTTTGAAGAAGTTCAAAGATTCTTGTTCTCCCTTTTCAAATTTGCAAATGTGATACATTTTACCTTCTTTGGTTGGGAAACATGGTTCTCTCCAAACTATTTCTGTCCCAGACTTTCTGTCATTCTTAGAAGTTAATTGGTCTAGAATTTTAAAGGTGTTGCACATCAAATGTGCCTAAAGATGCAGACAAGTGTTCATACTTCTAAAAAATAAAACTAAATTTCATTATGCATTTTTAGGTGTCAAAGTATCTTTACAAACCTGGCCTGTATTTCCTCTGTAGGTGGGTGTCACAAGTGTTAGAGTAACCAATGATTCATTGCATATGCTATCATTGGAACATATAATTGCTTGATTGTTTCTTCAGAACTCCTCAGAGACTTTGTCCTGATTTCCAGAGAGAGAAAAGACCTCATCCTCCAGTCCTCCTGTTTTACAGTTTTATGTGCTTTAATTGCAAAATCAAATAATTAAGAACTGTAACATAAAATAAATATTAACTTTAAATTTTTAGAAATTACTTTGATATAAACAAAAATAATTAATCCAATTATCAGGATAATTGATCCATTCTTAATAAACCAACAACCTTTATCTAGCACAGAGGACAGCAGTTAGCTGCCAACATAACATAGCATTATCAGCACCAGCTGGAACATCTTATTCCATCCTGAATGCCAGATATAGCAAGGTGTCAGTCACTCCCAGATCAAAGGTGATAGTGGTGTTCATTTAGATAGTCTGTTCAAATTATAGATGGTCAGACAGTAGCCAATGTCTCTGCCAAGGGAGGCTGCATAGAAACATCGTGGTGTGTTTCAAAATGATGCAGCTTGTTACATTCAAAATTTAGATGAAAATGCACTGAGAAATGCTTTCAGGATTAATCACATAGCATTCCCAATCTAAAATTTTGTGCATGCATGATTCTAGAAATTGACTGATTAAGTTAGGGATGCCTTAGATATGCAGAATCTATTAACTGCCTTTAATAGGAAAATCTCTGTATTATCTGCAAGTGCACATGTGCACACACACAGAGAAAGCTACATGAAGTGTCAGAAGTCCCCTTTTACTGACACTAGAACTATCCTTCTAAGAAAAGGATCACAGAAAGACAACCCTTGTAGGTTTTTTGTTTAGCCAATATAGTTTCTGTGACTTTCTTCAGAGAGTTTCAGGAAGGTAACACATTGTTCAGAAAATTACTTAGTTGTTTACTTGAACTGCCTGTTTAACACTGATAACTTTTCTGTCTAATGTTCCTGTATATTGCAGCACATCTGCCCACTTTTTGTGGCTGCCTGGGAAGGTAGAATGACTATGAAGTTGTTTAAGTGTGGTGGTTATGCGATGGCAACAACAGGCAGACCCAGTTTTAGTGGCTAGGAAACAGAAACATACATTTTTGATCTTTCAGAAGGGATGATGCAGCTTATCCCACCTCTTCCTAACTGCTGCTCACCAGTTTCTTGGCAAATTCAAATGAGAGGCTTCTGAATTCACTAGCATTGCTTGGTATA